TTAAAGTGAAGTATTGAAAAGTTACAGAAATAATAAAAAATTAAGCAATAAACGATTTTTACTGTTACTCTATTTGTTTCTAGTATATTACCATTGAAAATACAATTTTTATCCAAATAGTCAAATAAGTGAACGAAGAAAAGTAATTTTAATATTGTTTTCATAAATACAAAGTACCTATATGGTAAAATATTTCTGGAAAATATATGTGATGAATGTATATGAATTTAATAATAGTTTTAATTATTAACAAATAGTTGCTTTCATGTGATATTAATCTTTATTTTATAGTGTTTATAAATGTTTATTCTATTTTTTGAATTAATAGTGCTATATACAAAAAAAAAATAATAAAGGCTGATTTTATAAAATATATCAAATTAGAAAATCAGTTTGAATAAGTATGAAAAATTTTATATGAAGTTATTAATTAATCCTATTTGCTCCAGTTAAATACATTACGAATATACCAGAATATTTTAAATCAATAATGTTCAAAAGTATGCAAATTAAAGCAAGTCATTTTACCTACTAAAAGGTTTACAATGTAGTATAAATAATATCAATTTTGAAGACTTACCTTTTCGTATTTTAGTTGGTTAGCGGAACAAAGTAATCCATAATTCACACAACCGGCACACCGACCGACTTTTCACTCACTGCGTGTATTTCCGGGTACATTTTGGAACGTTTAGTTCGTTAAACTTCGTTCTTCTTCGATTTACCTGAAAACGACATAAGATATTACACCTTTTGATTGGTTGTATTTCAATTTGATTTAAGATGATTTTTAAAATTAGTTACTTTGAGTTATGCAACCCACTATACAGGGGATTATAGGTGAAAAGAAACATTTAAACCAATTTAACATTTTGACGAAGAAAATTGAGAATTGTAATTCTAGTGTGTAACTTTAAAACATAAAAGCGACTAAAGTTAAAGTGCTCTCTGAATAACGCAAAAAACAAAAAATGAGTAACATTGATATTATTTTGGTAAAATAAACATAACGATAAATTTTATTAACTTGCTTTACGAATTTTAAAGTATTTTGAAATATAATTTAATATTATACAGTGAATAAAATTTTCAATTGCTTTTAAAGAGAGCATACTGATTAGCTCATGCCATATATTACATTTACTTACTTCTGCAAAGAAAAACAAACACTTACAATGAATAGTATTTTCGTTTTGTAGACGAGGGTAGCTGCCACTCCTGTGGAAATTATGGATATTGCAGAAGCAGAGGCATAAAGTCTCACTATAATTCCAATAAATTGAAACTATTACCCCTTTTTATTTACCACAATATAGGACTGGCTTACTGTAGTTGTAGGATTTTACATTAAAAATGTTTGACAGATTATCTTGTCTGTAATGTACAAAAAAAATAATTACTCTTCTAAAGCGTTTACTAATTAATTATATTAATTATTTATAAAAGAAATATACCTATGTCAATTGAAGATAGATATTTGCTGAGGTCATGTTCAATCATGTACAAATGTACAATTTGGTATTAATCAACTAATAAAGACTCAACAGTGCGAGTAAAGGTTTGTACTGGTCTACGATTATCTGAAAAAGAAAAACAGAAATAAATGCAAAATAAAAGTGAATTACAATTTCCTATTTAATTTAAAATTGTATACGATTACTCTTACCTTGTTCTTTAGGATGACTACTTATTAAGTAACTGGAATAAAACACTAAAACAAATTCTTCATCCAGTTTTTTTGAATTCCTTTGCTTTGAACACTGATTGAAACTGATAACATTCTCTTACGTAAAGTCTGCCATGTAGAAGATTGGTCAACCAAGAACCAACCCCACAGCATTTGCGCCAATCAATAAAAAAATATGTACCAAATAAATTATTGACATTCCGATGTATAGGTTCAAATAAATATTACAATTTGCTTGACTTAATTCAAAATTAAATATATACCGGTTGCTTCTAGTTTTTGGGTAGATACTAGAAGTGATTTGCATCCATGAATTAATGGGAAATACAATTACAATTTATCTTTAATAAATCGTATATTTACTTAAAAACGTATAAAGCAAATTATAATTGTATCACAATAAAATACTGTATGTGCATTAGTAAATTAATATGTACATATAAATTAAACCTTAAATAGTTTGAAAACTTGCTTACTAAATAATTTATAAAATTTAAGTTACAGTCAAATTGTCTAAGGAACAAGATAACGTAACAAAGGTACGAAGTAGGTTCGTTTATAAAATGTATTTTTATTTGAATTTACAACCATGGATGCCATGCTGGATCCATTCTACATAAATTGTCGTGACTGCTGGCCGCTGCTACTAATGTGCTTACCTAAAAGTAAATTAAGCTAATACACCCTTCGTGTATGCGGAATATTTGAAGGGTACATTGATGGGTAATTGCATTAAAAAGGGTGGGAAAATTCCATTCAAAAATTTTTATTCCCACAAAAATAATAAAGGACCGCACACCATTATGAACATTTATTAATTGCTCATTTTGAATTCATAACATTTGAAATTCAAAAAGTATCCATTGTGATAATGACTATTTTCTTATGTGAATGCAGTTTGGTTAGTTTTGTCGTCAATTTTAGTTTTTGAGTAAATGGGACAGATAACTTGTCCATGATATTAAAAAAAAAATCTTACCTTGCTATCCAGACCATCAAAATGGGCTAGGCTGCTTAGTCTACCATTAATTGCAGTCACAGCCCTATTTACCATATTCACAAGTTGTTCACTCTCAGTCAATTTCTCCTGATTCACGTTTTCCAAATCCTCTGGCTTTTTCAAGCGGGAAAGCACCATCTCATCTCGCAGGATAGTCTTCAAAATGGCTTGAATCTTAACAAAGAAAGAACATTTTCACGCACACTGTTAGTATCTTTTAGTTTAGATAAAACAAAACTAATCTTTGTCTTGAAATCTCTTTATATTAAATTATTACTAATAATAATAATTTCCTTTTTTTAACGAATAAAGAAGTTTAAAAAAGTTACCTTAAAGTTGGGATATGTTAAGCACCGTGCAACAGCAATCATGGAGGCTGTAAGTGGACCTGTTATCCCGATCGTTGACAGGAACTCGACGATATTGGGTGTGAGACGGAAGGAGACTGGTCTTGTGGTGTTCAGCTCTCCACTACTGTCATCGACGTCAAATTTAAAGTAAGATACATTAACAAGACCAGAGTTTTGGTGCAGGTACATCATATCAGGATTCAAGCGTGTCAGATGCAATACATATTCGGCAAAACACGCTAAGGATAATTGCAAAGTGAACTGAAAGAGAAAACAAATAACATTTCAAATAAATACATTGTTATTTTAAGTTTCTACGATTTTACAAGTATTTTCGATTTTTAAAAAATGCTGTATTAGTTTTAATAAATTTTATGCATTTACACTAAAGACTGCGAGTTTAAGTACAAAATCAATATAACTTACCATTTTCCTAAACTGCCAATAGTCCGTAGCCGAAGGGAAAGTTGCGACCGCCCACTGTTTTAACATCGTTCTTGGCACCATATTGGTTTGTACTCCCTTCAATATGTCTCGGTAAACTTGATGACTTGCCTTTATCGCTCGACTTTGCACTTGTGCTAGCCTCTCGTAGTAATAACTAATTGGCGCGTCATATTCTATATCTGTAATAAGAAAATAAAAATTAACATTACTTTACAATAACTATGTACATGTATTATTATTTTATTTTGCTAAAATACTTACTTAATTTTGTACAACCCTTTCGGAAGACATCAAGTAATGAAACGGAGGCAGGATTATCTTCGACCAGTCTTATTTGTTGAGAAACAGCTACCACCCTTGGAACTGTGAAGTTCAAAAATCTTCTAGACGTTTCCTATGAAATAAAAAATCATTACAATTCCAGAGAGTTTTTTTACCAATATATTTTTAAAAGAATGATTAATCTTAAAAATTGTTATTATTACTGCAGATATCTTCGTGAAATATCCGAAAGAAAAACATTTTTTTATTCCTAATAAATAAAGCCAAATATAAACATTATAGTCACCTTTTGTTTTCCTAAACAATGGTTAAGCATTCGTAATAATTGGAGTACTCGTTCTTCGCGACGGGCATCTGCCAGGCCCGAGTCATTTACCACCAGATATGGGTATATCTTGCCATTATGACCGCGTATATAAAGACGTCTGGCAGCGCAATTGTGTTTTTGCACTATGTCAACGCGCGGCATAAACCGCGCTATGCGTACAAAATAGTGCGTATGTTTTGGCAACAAAAATTCTCCTGGAAGTTCGACTTCTGCCGTTTTTAGAGTAAAATTCGAAAGAAAACGGCACTTCTCCTCGATTAGAAATGACCTTCAGGAAGAAAAAAGAAACAATAATGAACAAAATGTATTAAACACTTCTTTTTGCTGGTAACTATCACCAGCCGTTAGCAAGTTAGAATAATTCCAGTCTTAAGTTCTCATTTGTTAACATAGTAAAAAGTCACCATCCATTATGAATCTTACTGAAATATGTCATTCGAGAAGATGATAAAATACAGAAAAGAGTTCTAAAATAGTTAATCGTAATGAACCTACTGTATGAGCATTTTTGATCGGTTTTCTAAAATCTTGATCCATTTTTTCAGCTTAAAAATGAGAGTATGAAGTCTCATAGCATTTGATTGGGAAAAGTCGAAGTCCTTCGTGAATTCCAATTTCATCTCTTTGAACACCGGGTCCTGGTAGGTGGCTTCCGCCCTCCGTGCCAGACTCTCCGACGCCGCCGAATTAAATGTTGCATTTACTGAACTTGATATATTTTCTAAATGGCGTGAAAAAATAATCAATTAAGAAAATTAGTTCTTGAAAACGTACATAATTATATTAATCGATAATAATCCAGACCTATCATCTACAGTATTAATAGCAATTAAATAATTTTAAAGGAAAAGCTAGAAAGATAAACAATTTAACATAAGATACGAGGGTGGATTGATAAGTTTCCGGCCTAACCAAGAGATGACGCCACTAGGCCTACCTTGAGGTGACATTCTATAGTACCATCCTTGGATAGCTTGTAGCTATAGTTTCAGCCCGATCTCCTTGCTAGTGTAGGTTTGACAGCACGCTGAACAAGACGCCTCTGTGGTTTTCGTAAAAATGGAAAAGCAGGAAAATCGTGCTGTCATCAAATACTTTTATTTGAAGGGGTTAACGCCGAAGGAAATTAAAAAAGAGATGGACTCAACACTGGGGACATCCTCCCCGTCATATTCAACCGTTAAGCAGTGGGTTTCCGAGTTTAAAAAGGGTCGTGTGAGCACCTCTGATGGGCCTCGCTCAGGACGCCCCGTTGAGGTCACAACTCCAGATATGATCGAAAAAATTCATCAAATAGTGCTGGGAGACCGCAGATTGAAAGTGCGTGAGATAGCTGAGACCTGTAAGATGTCATATGAACGTGTGCAACATATTTTGCACCAACATTTGCATATGGAAAAGCTCTGTGCAAGATGGGTGCCGCGTTTGCTAACAGTCGACCAAAAATTGATTCGAAAAAACATTTCTACCGCAAATTTGTCATTGTATAAGCGTAATCCAAGCGAATTTTTGCGTCGATTCGTAACCGTTGACGAAACGTGGGTCCACCACTACACTCCTGAAACCAAAGAACAGTCTAAACAGTGGATTGGACCAGGGGAACCAACTCCAAAGAAGGCAAAAACAATTTTTTCGGCGAACAAGGTTATGGCTACTGTTTTTTGGGATGCAAGAGGTATTATATACATTGATTACCTTGCAAAGGGTAATACTATCACTGGTCAATACTACGCAGACTTATTGCAACGTTTGAGCCACGAGGTGAAAATTAAACGACCTCATCTGGCGAAGAAAAAAATCTTGTTTCATCACGATAACGCACCAGCGCACACGTCAATCGTTGCGACGGCTAAAATCAACGATCTAAAGTTTGAATTGATGCCGCACCCTCCTTACTCTCCAGACCTAGCCCCGAGTGACTATTTTCTGTTCCCTAATCTCAAAAAATGGCTTGGCGGTAAGAGATTTGCGGACAATGAAGAAGTAATCGAAGCTGTAAATGGTTATTTTGAGGAGCTTGACGAATCAGTCTATAGAGATGGCATTAATAGACTGGAACACCGCTATGAGAAATGTATCAGCCTTGGAGGAGATTATGTTGAGAAATAAAAAAAAAAAATTTTTAAAAACCTTGTTTTTCTTGGTCAGGCCGGAAACTTATCAATCCACCCTCGTAGTTGATAACACAATGATCAAAACAGAAAACGACACAAAAATTCAAATACAAAGATAAAATTATTATGATAAGAAATAATAATTTAAAGAATAATTGACTCACCGACTCCGATACCAAAGGTAGAAACTAGTTTACGAACGAAATTGAGGATATGGGGTGTGATCTTAGCTTCGTTCACGGACTCTCGGTTTTCAAAAGCAATCGCGTAACATTTGGTCAGTCCTTGGCGCAGCTGTCGCACGACTTCTTCGTACCAATTTTCGCGGAACCATTCCATCTACAACCCAGGAAAAATTATTAGGAAAAAGGCGTACAACCATTAGATATCTATTTATCCGAAGATATTTGAATGACCTAAATTTCGGGTAATGAAGCTAAAGCAATGTTTGTGATTACCTGTCGTTTTGATCGTTAATAAACAATTTAATGTTTTATTTTGTAAACCTTGTATGTACAAAATATTTCTCAAAATTGAAGTAAATATTTGTTAAGTTTCAAATTTAGCCAAGTGTTCTATTTTATTTGTGTGTTAAGAAGCTAATATCGTCTGTTTTCGTATTTCAAATAGAAAGAAAACGAAGTTAATTTCGCCAATTACAGACCAAATTTTATTTATGATACTCTCTATTTTTATAACATTACAATGAGACTCATCGACGTTTCAACTGACTAACATGTCTTCGTTTTGTCTCACGTTTTTGTCACAGTGTTTGTTTAGTTTGTTTTGATTGTTGACTATATTTATTTATGTGAAAAACATTATTTATTTGAAAAACATTAACTATGTAACTACGTTTCCATTTTTTACTGATGACCTGAAGATGATCAAAAACAATGATCGAAACGTCGTCATTATAATGTTATAACTATAGAGAGTATCACAAATAAAATTTGGTCTGTAATTGGCGAAATTAACTTCGTTTTCTTTCTATTTGTTCTATTTTATTTTACAATTGAAATTACAATGCTTTCATTATGAGTTTACTGATGAAACCTCTAAACCAATTAGTTTTTTTTTATAAATATATGATAAAACATCAACATTAATCAGTAAAATTAATATCGATTTTTTGTACTAAATCACTACACAGTATAAAACAAAGTCGCTTTCCCGCTGTCTGTCCCTATGTATGCTTAAATCTTTAAAACTACGCAACGGATTTTGATACGGTTTTTTTTTTAAAGATAGAGTGATTCAAGAGGAAGGTTTATATTATAATACATGCATAATATAGTAGGGAAACACTGATATTTTTAAAGGTTTCTAATGTGATGTCGTAAATAAACACATTTTTTGCGCTTACATTGCAAACGCTGGCTGAACCCTTGAGATAGATCAAAATAATGCAGTACAATATTGTAAATCTTAAAAGGGTCTACAAAAAAGTCCGCGACGGTATATGTCTATCTCTTAGGGATAATCCGCAATAACCATTTTTATTCTTTACTTTTTATGACATAATGACTTATTTACGAAGCGATTGTAAGCAATACAGCATTAATTCTTATCCAATTAAGTACCTTAAATACATTGTGCATTTAATATAGATCAATATGGCTCTTTACAGCATGTAATTTAAATGAATATTTTCGAAGATATTACAGACTTAAAATGCAGGAACGCGGTTGCGGCAATACCTGCCGGGAGGCCGGTTTGTATTGTCTAATGACAAAAAAACTGTGAATGTTGTATATAAAGACATTCTGTAGTATATTTAGTATGTTCAGGGGGTATCTTTTGAAGATTTCCCCTTTTCGATAATAATCTAAACAAAACAAAAATATATTTAGTATCAGCAGTGCACCCGTGCGAAGCTGGGGCGGGTCACTAGTTATTTAATAAAAGTTACACATGTGATATTTTTTTCTTGGAACTTACTGTAAGTAAATAACCAAAATGTATCGGACTCTACTAGTCTATAAGAAAAAAATATGACGACTGTTATAAAAAAATACCTATTTTAGACGTAACTGAAGCATATTAAATATTATGAACTCCTGTCACCACTATTATATTTTTATAGCTTTTATAACTTAACTGACCTGGTCCGCAATGCCTTCCAAACTGTTCAAAACCGTCGTATGGATGTCCTTTTGCATTCTTATAATTTTCGAGCATCTAATCATAAGTGGCGTAGCTTTAATAGTGGCCGCAGCTTCGGCTGTGCTCGAATTTCCTCCAACGCTGCTACTACCACTTCCGCTTCCAGCTGTTGTTGTACATGACCCACCATCCTGGGAAGTCGACGGCGTTTGACCGGAAGTAACTTGGCTGGTAGTATCATTTCCTTGAGATTCCTGACTTTGTTGCTGAAAGAATAAAAAAAAAATAATAAAGGAATAAAAAATGTGCGGTAATTATTTATTATCGTTATCACAGTTGTAAAATTACTGATAAGCATAAAAAACTATTTATTACTGTTCGGGTAATAGAAAGCGATGAAAGTAGTCGTATACCTGAACATTAGTTTTTCTAGCTGTAGCAGTCCTCAAGGTCAAGTAGAGGATCCTTATGGGGAAATAAACCGCTTGGGGGAACATACGACCAACCTTGAGAAACGAAAACAAATTAAAACAGAATTCTGTTAATGTTATCATATTGTTTCTTGAACTACCTGACAAAGAAGATTAAGAATTACATTTCCTTCATATTGTACCAGACAGTTGAGCAACTGAGGCGTCCAGGGTAACCATAAAACCGGAGGTACACCTACTGAATATTTATCCAAGGCAGTCATTAAACTGAAAAAGATAAAATACAATTTTTTCTTATTTCTAATTAGAATGGTTAAATCTTTCACAATTTTTTATCTACTATTACCTAGAGTTCTTATCGTCGTAACTAAGAAGCCAAAGTACTTTTGCCAGATATTTGCGGGCCTTCGGTTCATTTTGGTGTCGACATGCGTGCATAAAACATGTTATCGCATTCACCCCTAAAGAAATCTGTCGGGGATCACGGGTAAATACTTGCTCTAAGTAGTCGCCATAGAGTGCCCACGCCTTCACAGATGTATCGTGCATTTGAACTGCAGCCGAGAAAGCTTTATTCGCCTCATCCGATTTATCTGAAATGAAAAAAATTGACAGTAATAAAGGCTGGCTCATAAACCACGTAATTTTTAGACAGGTAAGTTCTTTTCTCATTTTATAATACCTTTTTTATAGAACTTGTATTGTACTGTAAGTAATGGTATTTTGCTAGAATTTATAACTTATTTTTATATTGTGATTTATAACAAACAATTCCAGCACTTACAGTAGATCTTGAAAACAAAATGTGAATGTCATTTTTACTGCTTTTTTATTGTTTGTACTGATAAGTATTTACTAACCCAATGTTTCATTAGTGGGATTCGTTACATTATGGTTAAATAAACGCAATACAGTTGTAATTGCGGTTTGAAAATATTAGTACATATTTTGTAACAAATAAACCACACATAATTTAGTTGTTGTGTCACTTATTCTGTGATAACAATCTATGTATGGTATACCTCCATGTCTTGAAATTTTTTCAACTGTTATACAAAATTAAAAATAAAGAGCAATTAGTTTCACTACGCAATACAACAACCGTTATCTTGGCTATCAACGATGATAAAAGATTCCTTTTTTATCTTATCCATTTTGTATAAAAGTACAACTATCGGAAAAACACTCGCAGTTGTCAAAATGCAGTATGCATTGGTGTTGCTACTCTTGGTCACAATATTAGCCGGATGCAGCTACAGCATAGAGTATGGTAATTTACCGCCTCCATGCGATAGTCAAATCTTCTGCTATGGTGACATCTTAGAAGCAATACAACTTTCAGGAATATTTTCTGACTCCAAAACTTTCGTCGATCTCAAACTGAAGAAAACTGTTCCAATAACTCTGGAAGCTTTTAAAGATATCTCCAAAGACGGACTTGATCGGGCTGAAATCGAGGAATTTGTTCAAACGCATTTTGAAAATGTGGAAGCCATTGAACAGGTAGAACTGACAGACTTTAAACGCAATCAAACCTTCCTCAATGAAATATGCAATGCCACTGTGCAAGCTTTCACTCGACAGTTAATTGAAATATGGCCTGAATTATCGCGTAAAGTCAAAGACGAAGTTTACGACAATCCCGAACAGTATAGCTTCATTCCCGTGCCTAACCATTTTATAATACCCGGAGGTCGCTTCAGAGAATATTATTACTGGGATTCATATTGGGTTATAGAAGGCTTGCTCATATCTGAAATGTATGATACAGCCCGGCAAATTATAGAAAATTTCCTTTACCTCGTCGAAACGATTGGATTTATACCAAACGGAGGAAGGGTGTATTATTTGAATAGATCACAACCACCGTTATTAGCTTCGATGGTTTCACTTTACTACAATTACACTAAAGATGTAGCATGGGTGGAAAAACACATCGATGTAGTTGCTAAAGAATTGGCATTTTGGCTTGCAAACAAAACTACTACAGTGCAAACAGAAAATGGAAATTACACCTTGGCGAGATACTACGTCCCTTACAGTGGACCTCGACCAGAATCTTATGCAGAAGATTTTGAAACTGCTTCTGTGTGGACTGATCTGGATCAACGACAAAAAACATACGTTGAATTGAAAAGTGGGGCTGAATCAGGTTGGGACTTTTCCTCTCGTTGGATATTTGACGAAAGTGGTAATGCAAATGACAATCTATCTGGAATAGAAGCTTCAAGAATAATTCCTGTGGACCTTAATTCATTCCTTTGTCATGGTTTCCGTAAAGTTGCGGAGTTATATGAAATAATCGATCAAAATGTTGACAGTAACCTATGGTATGGTGTCTATAAATCCTGGGTGGAAGCAGTCGATTCTGTCTTGTGGAATTCTGATGAAAACATTTGGCTGGATTTCGACATTCAACTTAAACGCCATAGACGTGCAGCATATCCCACTCACGTAACACCTCTTTGGGCTGGTTGTCATTCTCCCGAAAAAGACAAAGCTGAACTAGTCCGACATGCCTACAACTACTTAACCGAACGTGGTTTATTAGCATATCTAGGTGGTTTACCGACTTCGTTATTGAACACAACGCAACAATGGGACTTTCCAAACGCTTGGCCACCAATTCAGCATTTGGTTGTATATTCGTTAGTAGGAAACGGTGTACAAGAAGCAGAAGAGGCTGCTCACAGTATAGTTAAAAAATGGATTGATTCTAACATATTGGGATTCATAGACAGTGGTGAGATGTATGAAAAATACGATGCTGAAGTTCCTGGACAATACGGAGGGGGTGGGGAATATACAGTACAATCAGGGTTCGGATGGACAAATGGAATTGCATTTAAATTCATTTACGACTATTACAGATGTGAGTAATAAAAACAAAAATGTAAAAAATATATAACTAAGCAAATACACACAAATAAATGTTTTTGGTGTGAGTGTATTTATTTCTAATGCATGCAAAGTGTGCTTTATTAATTGTTATGATTTTTTTAAATTCAAATAAAGATTTAAGCGTAACCAATTCTACTTTATTTTCTTTTTTAAAAGTTTATTACTTTACACTCTCACAGGTATTATATGTGTATATATATTTTTTTCTCGATTTAGTTTTGTTTCAACAACAATAATATGGATTTGTGGTTTCCTTGAGCAGGTTCATGACCATGAAGTTCAAAACAAATATTTTAGTATGGAATGAAACAATATAATTTCTAACAATGGAATTAATATTGTAATTTCAACATACTTCAAATAAGTCCCTAATATGTTATATTTTTCATGATAATAATATGACTTCATATCTTTTGTTATCAAATGTACATGTCGGAGGAAACAAAACAAGCTACAACTAGTTAACTTATCAGTAGTTGTCACTTAATAGTAAAAAAATCTTGTTTTAAAAACTAGAACAAATGCAAATATCGCCGTTATCTAGCAACCTATTGTAGATCATCCAATTATTAGTGGTAGTACGAAAAATAAAAACAAACACTGATCGTGAGAAATAGTTATGTTACTTTTTATCGTGTCGCGCAAAATAAGTACCATAACAAGACAATATCGAAAAAAAAAAAAAGGTGTAAGTTTGTGGACAATAACTTATCAATATTTGTTGACGTTATTTCTATAAATTGTTATGCTTCTTTAAAAATTTCCAAAAGTGGTTGTAGATATCAACCAGATAAATATGCTTTTAGGTCATAAAACTTGACTTGAGAATTATCTTCAAGTGTTTGCAAGAAATCAAATATATAAACAGTTCCTTCGCAATTAATATAAGAAGAAACAATTATCAAATCGGAATAAACCACGTATTAAACAAGAAAATGTCAAAATTTTGTTAAATTATACTCAAATCTTAAAAGCCATTAGTTAAAGAGATTTTGAAATCGACCAAAATAATAGTGTACCTACTGTGTTAATATTAAAATAATAAATTACGGTAGTTTTTACAAAATGCTAACAAAACTAAAATATGAAAAAAAAAAAAAAATTCTTAGCGATTTTATAAAACGAATGTCTTGTTTTCATTCAAACTATAGGTTCTTGATGCCTCATATTTCTCAATAATTTTACTAAAAACATCAACTTTTAGTATTGTGGACAATGTCACGATGAACTTCGACGTTTTTGAGCTTTCTGAACATATAAACTCAATGCACTTTTCATTTCATTTCATTCACGATATAACACAAGATACTGTATTCTTATGGAGCATGCGTGTGAACCGTGTGGCTAGTCGCACTGCGTTCCTTATAGTGGGGGTATAATAACAAGAATTAGAATTTATATATGGTACAGGTACGCTACTCCTTATTTGCTATTGTAAGTATACAAATTGCGCCTTGCAAAAAATTAATGAACCGCTTTAAACAATTAAAGAACAATTAATAATAAAATGCATTTAAAAATAAAAAAAATACTTACTACTTAGATGATATAGCATTCCTTTGAGTGCGTAAAATTCGGCAGTCATCTCCTTCGTGAAATATTTGACATTGGTGTTATTGATGACCTCAAGTCCTTCCTGAAGCTCGTTTTTATTGTTCAACGATGCCATTTGCAGATAGCACTTGACCTGCTGACGGATTTTTTGGAAGCAGTCAATTATGGGAACGCTTGCAATAGTATAAATTCGATTCAGGGACTCCAAACACACTGACGTCAATTTATGTTTACGAGCAATCTTTCCAAAGTGGATTATTGACTGAAATAAAAGAAAAATAAGAAAAATTAATAGTGGTAATAAAACTGAAAGTTGTTTATACAAATAGAATAGAGGTTACGCGAGAAAACGGGCAAAAGAACTTGAAAAATGTACCTGAGCTGAAGCATGCACTCCCAACATGGAATTCGTGTGGCCAGTTTCTCTCAGATTTTCGTAATGGCTAACAATGAACTGGTAATGATGTTGTCTCCAGGTAAAAATGTCGTTCCAATGGCTTAAATTATCCGCAATTACAGGCAACCTATTCCTCCAAGTTTTCACAATCGCTTTCATGTCATGCAATGAATTTTGATGTGCTTGCAACAACCCTTTATGTATCAGGTACGCTTCTTGTAACTCCATTATCTTAAAAAATAAATTAAAAACTTGGAATAAATATAAAACGAAAATGAATCTATCAATATATGTTTTGCTAATTTTTAACTTAATATCTACTTTTTTGATACTAGTAAACACTATTAAGAATTTAGGACTATCACAAAAAACTAGACAAGTAGTAGAAATTATTGGTGAAGTGAATTTTAATTTATAAAACCTACCTGTTGGGCAGCTTGTAGAAAAGGCAAGTGAATGTGGCTGACGATGTGGGGTAATCGTCGCCACTCGTTAAGGCACATAACGGTCGCGGTCTCCACGTAGCGTTCCGCAATCTTTAATGGTTTTTCTTCGGGATTACAAATAAGAAGGTATCCCCCATATAAGGTTACCTACATTATTATATTATTTTTCAAACACGTTTATTACAATTTTTATTTTTACTGTATTATAGATACATTTACTTTTAAGCGCCGTTTACAAAAAAAATAGTTTGAAGTAAGATTATTTACAAATATTAAAAAGAACATTGCAGCTTATTAGTATGTACTTAAAATTTTCGCAAAATCATATACTAATTATAATTGAGTTAATTAAAAGCGAATGAAGCAAATTGAATAATAGATTTAGATGATGGATAAAAACCCTTGATAAATAATTAACTTAATAAAGAAAATTTATCGGAATTGCTTTACACTCTTTACCAATTGAATTAAGGAACTGACATAAAAAAAAAATTTTAACTCACCTTCCATCCTAACTCTTTAGGGCAATTATACTCTACATTTGAGAGGGCTTCTTTCATAACATCCCAGGAAGGAACTCGCCACGAGCTTTCGAGCATGAGGTAGGGATCAAACACACCATTCTTTGAATATTCCAGAAGAATGTCCCATTGATTTAACTCTTTCGCACAACTAATAAGAAAATAAGGAAATTTTAGTTCAGAATAATAAAAATGTAATTTCCTTAGCACATACCTGATCCAATGTTCGGTCCAAAGATGAACTTCACGCTGTGTATGAGTTGGCAACGGTCCCATAGTGTTGTCCTGCTTGTGCTTAGCCATCGCACTCTCGTACGCCGCTTGAGCCTGCTCAAAGAAACCATGTTGTTCGTATGCAATGGCGATGTTAGTCTCCTTGTAATGAGCATGCTTCTGCCAAAGGCCAGCCCACATGTCTTCTTCACAAAGAAGATCATACAATTCTCCCAGGGAATTTAAGATTTCCTTTAAGAAGGTAAGAAAAATCGACCAATTAAGCATCAATAGCATTAAAGAAAAATTAGTTTACGTTGAAATTAAAATTAAAGATATTAAGGTTGTGAGCAATTTATGAAAGTCTAAAAAATCGAAAGGAATTTTTGACGTTTTTCTTATAAATGTATATTTTTAATTTAATTGGTATATTGGTAATTAATTTTTTTTTTGAAGTTATACTTCTTTAGGCGCGTTATGAAAAACTGATGAGAGTGAAATTTCAAGATGCGCGCGCATCACTGTAACACAAAATTTACAGGATGAAGTTGCCCACTCAACCGAATTCATTAAGTCTCGGAAAAAAGCTACCAACGAAATAGAAATAAAACCTCTCTTAGTCGCGCATGTTGGTACGCTTGTCGCCTCTGATCACTGTTTTCATATTTATTTATAATATTTATCCACATGGTTTTAGTTTTTACAGTCACAACACGTGTTTTATTTTCATACAAGTGCGAATTATATATGTGGCAATAAAATATATTCAGTAGTGATTTAAATTGAATATTTGGATTAATATTATTTACTATTTGTGAATATTAGTGAAAAAATTGTGCTAAAATACTTTTTTAAGTGCTCCAATATAATTGAGGTTAGTTATCCCTATGTATTATTTATTGATATAAATTAAAATATCATTATTTAATATAATTAATACTAAATATTATTAAATTATCAATGTTGAATATTTATTATTGGTTATTTAATATTTACAAAATAAAGAAATAAATTTAATAGAACATTTAATAAAAAGTTCGTGACAAAAATTTAATAGATTATTTAAATATAATGTAAGACATCCGTTATTTGTTTTATTGTTTTTTATTACATACGTCTTTTCTTTATCATTGTGTGACAGAAGATTTTGACATGTTGTGTATTTTTCTATTTTTAATGATGCCAAAGAAGTATAACTTCTCACGCGCGTACATAAGTACACGCACCCATTTTTTTTATATCATACATAAGCAT